CAGCCCCATCCCCATCCCCAGCCCCGGAGGGCCTGGAATTGGCTCCAGACCCCACTGCCTGTGGTGACAGGAGCTCTGTTGTCACTGTGGGAGGACAGATAGCAGGACACATGGAGTTACCTCTGTTCAGATCCCAAATTGTGCTCCTTGGAGCTGATTGCTGCCATTTGTGGTGTGTCCTCCTGAAAATCCAGCTCCAGCAGCTGCTCTGCCACACTTTCCACAAGGGCTGAAGGACAACTTTAACTTCCCTCATTTGTTTTGTGAGTTAACCATTAAATGGTGATTGATTCCTCATGACAAAGTGGAGGAATCATCTTAGACTTTTCAGACAAGCATTTGGCAGCCTGGTGATGGTGAAGCTTTGTTTGAAGGGGAAGGAGACGTTTCAAAGTCTGCTGGGTATCTGCAGTAGCTGCTGTCTGCAGTGGCCTGACCACAGCAATGGCCTCTGATTTCCAGTGGGCTGAAAACTGGCCAGGACTTACATGGGGAAACCAAAGCATCAGAAATAGCAGGAGCAGTGTGGTGATCCACAGAGTCAGATTTAGCAGGGGCTGTGGAGCCAACGGGGCCTGCTGGCTCCTCATGGCATGGGAAAGGGCCTCTGGAATGTTCTCCTCCCTTCTGGGATCAGTGTGTCAGAGGGGATGTTGGAAATCTGGTAAGCATTTGGAGATTGGCTGCTAGAATGATTTAGGATCTCAAGTATCAGTTATCCTCTCTTAGCTCCTTTGGAGAGGGTTAGACATGGTTTGAAAATGTATAAACATCGTCCTGCCATCCACAATCTGCACTGACCATGTCCCATTCCAGCTTTTACAAAACTTTTGGTGCATTTGGTGACATTCTTTCATTATTTTTAGAGTACCCTGAGAAATTTTGTGGAGGATCATCAACCAGAAAGATTAATTGCAAATTATTGCCCCAGTGGTTATGACAACCAAAATGGTGAGGCAGGAAGCAGATTGTTGGTTGATCTCCTTGATCTCCTCCGTATTTCCCCAACTCTCCCCTCATGTTTGTGATCCTGGTAGATCTTTATCTAAAATTCTGCAGTTCCAAAGAGCTCCTGTGAGATCTGTTGAAGCTGCTAATGAAGCCTCACCATCATGTTCATGATTAGTCACATTTTTCACTCTTTCATTTCATCAGGAGAACTCTTTGTCCTGCTCTCTTGGTCATGTTTATGGTGGACATCACTCAGATTTCAGCACTTAGTGCTCTGATCCACTGTTGCAGCTGGATGGGAATTCTCTGAGGGAACAGAATGATGGAGAGATGTGAGGTTGGACTTGGTGAATTTTAGAGGTGACTTCCAACCTTTGCTCCAGGCAGGGCTCAGTGCAAGTCTAGATCAAGTCTCTGTGGTTGTCTCTCTCTATTCCATTATTGGGGAAAACAGATTCTGATGTGGAAGGAAATCTGGAATTTTCCCATGTGGAAGATTTGTTTGCTTCATTATATTTTATTCCATGTGATGTGTAAGTGCTCTATCTTCCCCAAACCAGTTTTTTCTATACCATTTTTTCTTACCCATTCATGCACTCAGAGCTATTGATCAGTAACCTGTCTCTCTTCCTTGCACTAATTCCTAAATTTTGGACTTGTTAACAATTTCCCATTAATATTTTTTTTCCCTGCAAATGAACTCTAGAGGAAATATTAAGATTTCCCTCAGGATGGAATAGGAGAGGAGGTAAATATAAACAAATAAGTAAAATATTTTGGCATTTGGTTCAGGTTTGTGTCAGTCAGAGTTTCTGTAGCTTCTGTGAAGCTCATGGGTATCAATATTCCTGTTTCTGCCTGATCTCATGTCTCCACACTGAATTTTCATTCAACTGTACTTTGTTTCTTGGTTAAAATGTCATAGTCACACCATGGCCTCAGGGATTGTAGCCAAGCTGGGAATCCTGCTTTGGGGAGGAGAACAGCTTCAGAGCACTCCCCCACAGTCACTGGGAGTAGACAATTTACAGGGAATTCAGAAAATCCACACATGTGTGTGAGTTTTCCTTCTTGCCAAGATGTCCTTCAACATGGAACCCTTCTTATTCCTACATGTGGTCTTTTCATGGAAAATAGTGCTACAGTCACAATTATAAACATTTTAAAATAACAGGTTGTATTTTAAGACACTTTTTCAGTCTCTACTACAGATTTCCTGATTTTATAGCACAACGTGATTTCAGTGATGGTCTGTAATTGCACCAATCAGATCCGTGCTGGGGACAAACTGAGCTTGGTGGCTGCCACTTTTTGCAGTTGGGTGTTTCCCCAGGACTGTTTGTCTCTTGCCACCCTTCCCTTGTCCACGTTGAACCAGTCATGGTGAGCCCGGGGTGTCACTGCAGGGATCTCCTCAATCTGTGCTCCTCTGCTGGAGACGCTGTGGGAACACCAGAGGACTTTTGTCTCTTGGTACTTCTAATTACTGTGCTTGGGTTTAGTCCATGGACAGGCAGGAGAGGCAGGGAGCTGCCTTTCCTGCTCCTCCAGTCTCCCAATCCTTCTCCCATGCAGGTTTTAAGGAAACAGCCTTCCTGTACGCAGTGTCCTCGGCCGCCCTGACGCACTCGCTGGCGCGGGCGTGCAGCGCGGGCCGCATGGAGCGCTGCACCTGCGACGACTCCCCGGGCCTGGAGAACCGCAAGGCCTGGCAGTGGGGAGTCTGTGGGGACAACCTCAAGTACAGCACCAAGTTCCTGAAAAAGTTCCTGGGGCAGAAGAGGATCGGCAAAGACCTGCGGGCCAAGGTGGACATCCACAACACCAACGTGGGCATCAAGGTAGGAGCTGCACCGGCAGGCCTGGGACGAGCTCTGGACTCAGTGCAAGTCTTCCAACCCTTCCTGTGTGTGAGGGGGTGTTCACTGCCCTGCTCACAAACCACACCTGTTCACCTGTGTGTCCTGGGCCTTGTGGTGCTGAGAGTCCCTGGGAAGTCTCCTGAGCTCTCGTGTGAGGAGATGCATGTTGAGTGGCAGAGGAACATCCTGTGTCCTCCAGTGGTCCCAGGGTTGGTGACAGGGAGACACAGCACAGTGAGAGCTGTGAAACCCCACAGCTGAATGGCTCCAGGGGTTATGCCAGGGCCACAGGGGGTTCTGAGAACAGCTGGAGCTTAGAACTGCTGGCATGTGTGAAGCAGATTAAAGACTGAAACTCTTGAGATCAGTTTTGAGTCTGCTGACCTTGCTATGGAACCAGGCCTGTCACAGGTTTGGGTCAGAGACACCATCAGATTTAACCTGTATTATGATATAATAATATATATATATATATATATATATATATATGCAGATATAACCATGCATTTTAACCTGTAGGTTACAGGCTGCCTTGTCTTCTGTTTACTGAGTCAAACTGATTGTTTCATTAGAGCACTGCCTTCATTTGAATACACCAAAAGGAAGCCACCGTGTTGGAGATACTCAGTTTTATGATTGACTACTCCTACTGTGCCAAACAGAATTAGTAAGGGCTTATTTAAGAATTTGGAATTCAGGTGGTTGTCCTCAGGCTATCCACTCTGTGGCTCACCTGTCAACTCCATAACCATTCCTCTGCTTTGGTGGGTTTTTATTTATTTTGTTTTTGGTTTTTTTTTCTTTGTTTTGTTTTTGTTTTGTTTTGTTTTTTCTGGATTTTTTTTTAGTTTTGTTTTTTTAATTATTAACATCTTTTTCCTCCATAGAATAGAAATAATGCCAATTAAACAGAGGTGCTTGCAGCTGTCTGCGATCTGGGGCGTTGCCTCTACCACAGCTATAGGTCCTGGCAGGTAATAACCACAGCTATAGGTCCTGGCAGGTAATAACCACAGCTCTCGTTCCCCATCAGGCGGTGAAGAACGGCCTCAAAACCACCTGTAAGTGCCACGGCGTGTCGGGCTCCTGCGCGGTTCGGACCTGCTGGAAGCAGCTCTCCCCTTTCCACGAGATCGGGCGGCTCCTCAAGCTCCGCTACGACGACGCCGTCAAAGTCTTCAGCACCAGCAACGACGCCGTGGGGCACTCGGAGCTGGCGGGGCCGCACAGACACGGCCCCTCGGCCAAGCAGCCCCTCCTGCCCCGTCCCACAGACCTGGTGTACGTGGAGGACTCGCCCAGCTTCTGCCGGCCCAGCAAATACTCGCTGGGCACCGCCGGCAGGACCTGCTCCCGGGAGGGCAGCTGCGACAGCATGTGCTGCGGCAGGGGCTACAACACCCAGAGCCGCCTGGTGACCTTCTCCTGCCACTGCCAGGTGCAGTGGTGCTGCTACGTGGAGTGCCAGCAGTGCATGCAGGAGGAGGTGGTGTACAGCTGCAAGCAGTAGGGCCGGAGCCCGAGGGGCGAGGAGAGGCGGGGAAGCAGCAGGGGGACAGGGACACGGCTCTGCTGAGCGCAGAGGAAGCACCGAAGGCGGGCTGTGCTCCTCTGCCTCGGCCATGAGATGCTGCAGCCTGGGGAGAGCCCCTGCGGCTTTGTCGGGTGTGGGGTCAGGACAGAGCGGGGGGGATGTGGGGACGGTGCAAACGCTGGTGCAGCCACAAATGTCCCTCGAGCTCAAACCCGCACTCGCCTCTGCGGGAGCATCCTCCTTCTCCGCGGCCCAGGTGCTCTCCTGGAAATGCATTGGGGTGGTGACACCGGGACACTGAGGGCTCTCAGTGCCCTGGCTCCTGCAGAGAAGAGAATGAAGGGACTGGGGAGGCGACAGCCGGACACTGGCTCCAGGTGTGGCAGGGACAGCCAAGGCAGAAGGGTCCTGGCAGTGGGGGATTGCCAGTGCCATTCCTGGGGAGCTGGCTGAACCCTTCCTGCTGTGAGATCACCGACACAGTGCTGAATAACCTCATTTTGGCACAAGAGTTGTGCCTCAGAAATACCAGTTTACAAACAAAGGGAGCTCACATCCGTCACCTCCCAGGTCTGTAAGTTTGGATATTGGACTCCAGGTGTGTTTTAAGCACGTTTTAACCTTGCTGTTCCAGGTCACCTGGAATTGCTCTGTGACAGTGTTTGAGCCACAGCTGAGGGCCGTGGAGCCACCCCTCTGCAGCACATGGCCTCAAAGGGGGGGATTTTTGTGGTGGAGATCCAGGGTGATGGTGCCAGTTACTCATCTCTCTTCCTCCTCCCCCCCAGTTAATCAATCACCTTTCTGTCTCATGTGCAGCCCACTCTGCCTGGTGCCCGAGGTGTGCCACACCCCACAGTCCTGTGCCAGTGACAGATAAAGCTTCTGAAAGGGAATTAGGAGCCACAGGAACTGGGGCATCTGGAAAATGAGCAAGTCATGAGTGACAATCCCTGCCCTGAGAAGTTGGGTTTGTCCAGCCCCTGCAGGCGTGAGGGCAGGTGACCCAGGGAAAAGAGCACAGGCTGTTAAAGAGTCATGAGCCCTGACTTTGAACCTTGTTTTTCCCTCTGATTTTTGGCTGAACACACCAGACGCAGCCTGTTCAGTTCTTGTGGCTGTGATTTAGTGAGCAGTTTTGGGAATGGCAGTGAGGCCCCCCTGACCTGGCCACCAGGTGAATGTAGGTGTAGCACAACCTCTCTGGGTGTTCAGCACTCTGACAGTGTATTTTCCTGCTCCAGGGTTTTCCTGGTTAATCCTGCAGTGGCTCTGGATTGTCCCTGAGGTAACAAATCTGTATTTATTCAAGTCTTGGCAATGGGTACAAACCAGCCAGAGTGGAGATGGGCTGGTGCTGCAAAGAATACGGGAATCCTTAAGCTCAAATCAAAATTCACTGGCAGGGTAAGGGGTGTGAAGATGCTGCTTTGGGTTGCTAGATGGAAGAAGAATTTCAGGCAGAATTGGGCTGAATTCCAATAGGATGGAGCTCTCCTCAGAGCTGTGGGATCTGCCCTGTGTGCTCAGCTCTGCAGTGTGGATCTGCTGGAGTTGGGCAGCTCAGCCACTCATTTACAGCTGCTCTGAGCAATTCCTCCTCAGTGAGGAGCGTGTGCTCATGCTCTCTTTACCTTGACTTTGTTGCCCTTTTGGTTTTTACAACTATTTTTGACTTCTGCTCCCTCCAGGGCTGGCACAGAGCAGTCTCAGAGCAGATCAAGCCATTAACTGGCTGTTTGGAGGCCACTCAGACCTTCCCTCTCACCAGCTACAGGTCTTTTAAAGGGCTTATTCCTTTTTATCCCTTTTCTGGCTCAAGTTGACTTGAACTGAATTAAAGAGTTTATGACAGACATAATACTGCAAATAGGCTTAATTAGCCTTAATTTTTTTTTACCTCCTAAATACCTAAGAGCAGACCATTATTTATATGTTGCTTTTAATCCTTTTGGAGCTGAAATCTTCCCACGAGTCTCAATTTTGAGCACTCAATGAAAAAGTTTCCAAATAAGCTAAAATTGGCATCGTTGGTGGAGTGAGCAGGGAACTCTGGCTGAACTATTGATCTCAAACCCTCTGCCCCACTGACCTTGTGCAGCACCAGAGAGGAAGGGAATACCCCATCTCAGGAGGGTCCTTTGGGGTCCCATGTCACCACATGGATCATTCACATTTAAACAGGGACTGTGGCTCAGTGCAAAGAGGTGGGGGGCACAGCTGGACCCCATTTCTTGGGAAGCAAGTGGAGGAGACACCATTCTGTCCTCTTGCTCTTATCAAAGCTGCATGGGAGGGAATTGCTGAATAAGAACTGGACAAAACCAAATTTCAGGGAAAATTAAATTTCTTTATGTACCAAAGGGGACTTTTGGAAACTCTTCATCCTGTGTGGCTCAGAGCTGCTGGACAAGATCTGAGGAAGAGAGTTCATTCTCTGGTACCACAGGGTGGATTTGGACTCAGTGGGATGTGGAAATTTGGCATTGGGCTGGAGTGAATTTGGGTTGTTCACTGTTAAGCCAGGTCTGGACAAGGACATCTGGTGTCCCCAGCTTTGCTCTGGTTAACTCAGAGCCCCTTTCAGCCCCTCCTGACACTGCTGCAAATCCTCCTGTCCAAGCCCTGCCAGGCAGCGCAGCCTCAAGGGCTGGAAACCAAATGATGAACACTGATGGGAGAGAAATAATTTCAAATGCCCCATTTGAGGATTGGGAAAAGACTTGAGCGTAGATTTAGTTTGAAGCAATGCTGATGTTAATCCTTTAGGTGTCCTTCAGCATCTCCTTTAGAGATGGTGCCATGGATAAGGGAGGGACAAAGTTTGCATGGGACAGATATCATGGTGACTTTGGGGTTTTTATTTCATTCAGTCGTCCAGGGTGGTTTTGTTGGGTTGATATTCTGAAATATGTTTTAATTCAACTGGCAGCAGTGGGAGCAGGGAGCAAAATCTGAGTCTGTTTGGCCTCCTGTATTCTTGAATTGTATTTTCCTGTGAACCAAGACCAAGCAGCATCTTGAGCAAAGCTCTTCTGCCACCTCCTGGAGATCTGGGCTGTGAAGGTCTGGAAGTCCATTTGGACCTGGGAGAGCTTTTTAATTGTGCCACACACCTTAAAATGTACTGCAAGTCCCATGGATTTGGTTATATGTGTCAATTACTGGAATGATGGGCTGAAGATACAGGGGGATTGCATTTCAGTCAGAAATCTTCTTGTCAGCAAAGTTGAAACCTCATATCCTGCCTAAAAAAAACCCTTTTCCAAGTGCAAATGTACCCCAATGACTACTGATGGTAAAAGTCTGAGCTGCACAGGCTTTGCTGGGAGTGTTTTGGTTTGGACTGAATCTTCTCTGCACCTAAAATCCAGATAACCTGGGAAGAGCCATAGCTCCAATACCCCTAACCAGGGTCCTCACTGCCCACACAGGGGCTACACTGCTCACACAGGTTAGTCCCTGGCCCTGTCACTCTGGACTTCCTAGTCCAGCTTTTATTACCTCTCCTGGTGTGTTGCAGTGCTGGGCTTGGTAGTCATGGATGCAGCATGTCTGTTGCAGAGGGGAAATCCATCCATCCATCCATCCATCCATCCATCCATCCATCCATCCATCCATCCATCCATCCTCCATCCCTTTTTACAAGAGCATGGAGTGACAAGGAGAGGGAGAATGGCTTCCCACTGCCAGAGGACAGGGTTAGGTGGGACATTGGGAAGGAATTCTTCCCTGTGAGGATGAGGATGCCCTGGCACAGGGTGCCCAGAGCAGCTGTGGCTGCCCTTGGGAGTGTCCAAGGCCAGGTTAGATGAGGCTTGGAGCACCCTAGGACAGTGAAGGGGTCCCTGTCCATGGCAAGGGTGGGATGGGATGAGTTTTATGGTCCCTTCCCAGTCAAACCATTCTGGAATTCTATAAAATGTTTTACTGAAACATTTCTCATGTTTATGGATCCCACCAACCCCAAGTGAGGAGCTGAACCTGCTTGGGAAGAAATCTCATCTCAGGAAGCTGCCCCATCTGATGGTTATATCCCAGGAGTTCCTGGAGGCTTTTCCAGGGATCCATTGCTCTGATGGAAGGACAGGGCAGTGCTGGTGGGCTTTGTTATATAACAAAAAGGGCCATGTAAACCAAGCCCCACCAGTGAGGGGAATAACAAACCCCAGTCCTGCAAGAGTCCCTCTACACCTTGTGTCAGACCTGGAGGCCAATTTACAGCAATATAATAAAGATGTCACTTGGAAAAAAAAGAGTGTGTGCTTTAAGGGAAGCAAAACTTTTGTCTACCTCAAGATGTACAACTTGTGTGACAAGAAGTATGGGTGTTATTTATATTTCTTGTATTTCCTCTAGAAAGAAAATGGTGCTAGGGGGTTTAAGTTGCATTACAGTCCTGTCCTACTCGTACCTTGTGTTAATTTTTATGTATTCCTTTTTATTATAATGTGCATATTTGTGTTGCACAAGTGTCTGCTTTGCTGTGTTCTTGTCAGTCAATAAATACCAGTTGTTTTTTAAGAATGTTCATTTCTGCCTCTCAGGGAACACCCCTGAGAAATACCTTTGCAGAACCCCATTCCTCCACATTCACATGATGTTATTCCCGTGGTTCTCCTTTTTGCACACCCTGTGCAGGAGATAACTGGGAATGCCCATTCCTGCCTGCCCAACCATAAAGGCTGCCCAGGTGGGCTGAGCTCAGGTGTTCTTGCTTGATGTGACTGGTGAGCCAAACCTCACCCAGGATGTGTCAGTGGCATCTTTCCTGGAGCAGCAAAACAAGTGATGCTCCTTTGCTCTGTCCTTTGTCTCTGTGCCACCTGTGGGTGTGGCAGCTTGTGCAGCTTGGGAACTGAGATGATGGAAGTGGGGCAGATGTTGTTGAGCCTCAAAGGACTGCAAGGTGCCCCGTGCTCTGCAGGTTTTCCCTGGGGACGCTGTCTCAGGGGAGCTGTGGAGCCCCAGCTCAGTCTTTGCAGGGAGGGATGATGGACTCGTGCTGCAGTGACCAGTGGCTCCTTGCCCTTCATCTTGGGCACACAGGAGCTGCTGGCTCCATGTGGTCCCAAATAGCTCCTCCAGACCTTGGTTTGGCAGCAGGCCACCATGGCATGGTGACATCTCCTCACATTGTGGTGCTCAACACCACCACAAGGCCGAGGAAAGGCCTTGGCCATGGCTGTGTGCAGGGCCCAGGCCAAGCCTGGTGTGGTTAAGGGCACTTCCAGAGCCAACGTGTGCCCAGGCCCAGAGCTTCCAGTCTTGGCCACACCAGAACCACTTCACACTCTGGTTTTCCTTGGGATCCTGTTACTTGGCCCCTCTTTCCCCACCACCAGCTGAATCCTCTGCACAGAATTTCACTTCTGCACTGTCAGAAGGGTGGTGTCAGCCCTAAATGCCAGCACGTGGCTGTCCAACTCTTGGGCCTGTACTGAGTGAAAGTGTCAGGAATATCCCCCAGAAGGGTTGGGCTCTCCTGGATAAAGCATCCCATTGCACTGGGGATGATCAATATTTCAAAACACTCACAGTTCCTCTCCCAACCCTCTTCCCACCCCGACTCTTCAGGCTCTACTCTACCTTTCCCTGCTGTTTTCTTATGTCTGCCCAGCTTGTCCCACAGAATAGTGCAGTCCATGAAAAATCTGCTTCCCTGGAAAGCTGAAGCAGCAGTAGAGCTCTCTGGACAGGCTAAACTGGGTCAGTGGCATTTTCTTGGGGACTGGATGACACCAAGGGGAGCAAACCCCACACTTTGTGTCTGTCACAGGCACTGGCACAGCTCAGGCTTGGGTCAGCCTGGGGACCCCAGGAATGTCCCTTCTCCCCCAAACCAGCACTACTGAAATGGGGTCACCACCATCCCTGGAGGTTCAGGGAAGCCACACAGGTCCCAGGCACCACCCTCTTCACCTGTTCATGGTGAGCATCAGGCTAGTTTTGTATCCTCAGTCATCCCTACTTAATGCTTCTCCTGCCCCAGTGTGGTACCTACAGAATCTCCTGGGTGGATGAAGGCTGCTGGCTCGAGTGATTTTTTGGGACAGACAGTGCCAGGGTGCATTAGGAATCGCCACCCAGCCTGGCTGTGCTGCCCTGGGAAGCAGCAGTGGCTCCAAGCTCTCCTGGGCACTCAGGGCACAGCACGAGGCCAACACGAGCTGGGCTTTAGAGGGATCAGGAAGAAGTGCTGAGGGGAGACAGGCTTTGCTTCCCTGCTGGGGCCCAACTATCCCAGACCTTCAGCACAACCTTCCAGGCTGCTTTCGCCTCTCAGCTCTTCCAGGGCACAACAGGCAGCAGGGCTGAGGTCCAAGGACTAAACAGGAATGTCAGGTCTTGCTGTGAGAGGGAAAGGTCCTAGAGGGAAAGGTCCTAGAGGGAAAGATGGGGAGCTGGGTGGCAGAACATGGATGGGGAGGTTTTCCACCCTTCCTCAGCAGTGTCACAACAGACAGAGAGCCTGGGCACACAAGGGGCCAGCCCAGCCTTAGCAGGGGGATGGTTTTCCTGAGATTGTCTGTTCCTGGGAGAATGGTGATGTGAGGAATTTGTTTTCTTCATGGTGTTGAGTGGAGGGGTTGTGTGAGCGCTGGGTGAGTGCAGTGAAACCTCCTCGTGCTGCTTGTTACTGTCACAGTGGGATTAAAATGTCATGGGAAAGAGCTCCTGGCAAAGCAGGCCGGTGGGATCCCTGCTCAATTGTGCGGCCACGCTGAAAATCCCTGCCCTTGCTGGGTGCAGGAAATCAGGACCTTTGGGGTTGGCTCCTGTGCTTCAGGAGATGGGCTGGGTTGGGGCAGACACGCTGCAGCAGCTCCCAGCCATTCCTGCCACCTCTTTCCTGGGCAGTGGGGACTCCAGGGAGCTCTGTGAAGTCACAGGAGAGCAGCAGGACCCTGGACACAAAAAGGATTTTAAGGTCCCTTCCAACCAAAATATTTCTGTGATTCTATGAGAAAACACAAGTTAGTTTGCAAGTCACACCTTAAATGTAGGAAATGCTGGAAATATAGTTTATTGACACATCAGTGTCTTCCCAGCCAGGTTCCTTCTCTGAGCAGCACCATGGATGACCAAAGTACCATTGCTTTGGGAGCAAGCAGCTCAATGGAAACATTTAATGAATAGCATTGTTTCATGTCATCACTGGGGGACTCTGGCAATTCCCAGTCAAGCAATTTTTCCCTCTTCTCCACAATTGCATCTAAATTATTGTGTCAATCCAACTCCCCACACAGAGACAGCAGCAAAGTGTGAGCTGTGCCCATCACGTATCCCCACCACTGTCCCCGTTCTCAACCTGGCTGCTGAAACACCAGCTGAGGCTGTTCAGAGCCAGCATTTGCTCTGACCCGTGGGGGTGATGGCTGGCTGAGATCCCTGTGCTCCCTGTACTGCTCCTGCAGAACCTCCTCCTGTGCCCTGCTTTGTGCCGTGGCACAGCCAGGCCCCAGGACACGTCCCTGACCTGTCTGTGGGTGCTCCAGGCTCTGCTTTTCTAAAACTGACATTCAAGTGGCTTCCAGCCTAACCTTGGCTGTCTCAAGCTGCAAATCTGAGTGAGCCCAGGAAAGAAGGAGGCACCTCCCAGGGCATCTTAGGATTGTATTAAAGGTTTAGGACAAATGAACTCCACTCTGCTTTTTCCCAGCTTATACAAGTTTTAAATCCCACAGCCCTGCCTGGGACAGTGGCCTCTGCAACCTGTGCTGTTTGCTGATG